GAATTTATTTGGTGAGAACAAGCAAGAGAACTGGTGAAAATCATAATTTTCCAACAAGGAAACAACGTCAAATTAGAATCTGGTGTTTAACAACTTTACACTGCTTCTCCGAGTTAATGTATAAACTTCACGTGAAGTATTATGTGTCAAAAACAACCTATGAACTTGTTTTATAACGAAAATGTCCAAGAAACATCTGGAACAACAAAAAGAGCTGCAGGATAAACAGAAAAAACGCTTTTTTAAACATATGACAAGCAGCTTTTTGTAAATAAACCTGAACTGTATTCGAACTAACGTTATCCTGATAAGTAACGTTGCTCTGATCAGTTTCTGAACCTGTAGGAGATGGGAAGCAGCTTGTGAGTCTTCTTCAGGCTCTGGACCTTCGCGTGCGTCTGCTCGTCCATGGTCTTGTAACAGCGCCGGGCGTAATCCAGAAGCTTCTCCTTAGAGGCCTCGAACTCTCCGACCTCCGCCACCTACACAGCAGCACATCAGATCAATCACGTGGAACCAGTTTGAAATGATGATCCTGTAACGGGCACACGATCAAGATGCGACCCGCAGTGTTCATGTATCGACAACACAGTAAAAGTTCAGACCTTCTCCGGGGCGACCAGCAGCAGCTCTGCCACCGGGGACGTGGAGGCCATGGTGTTGCGGTCGACACCGTGGATCTGGAAGGCTCGAGACATGCTCCTCACCCGCTGGTACGTGGTCAGGATCTTCTTGTAGCGAATTAGAACTCCATCGGGATCTTTAACTGAGGGGAGGAAGAGGTGAAAGTCAAACTTGTTACCGTGTTGGTTGCAGGAACCGTAAGTTCCACCAGGAAAATATTTTTTGTGTGTATTTAACAGTAAATAATTTCCGTCCACCCTCAGCCTCACCTCTCTGTCTCTCCCTCCCATGTGTGATCCTGAAGATCCTCCTCATCTTCATCCTGGGCTCCGCGTTTGCTCGCCCTCGACCTTTCTTCTTCGACCCCTTCTCTACCGCCTCCTCCTCGTCTTCCTCCTCCTCATCCTCCTCTTCCTCCACGAATTCGTCATCAGTGTAGTATTTCTCCTCCTCCACGTGAAACTCCTGCTTGACTACAGACATGAAAAATACTTTGTAAGAGTTGAATACTTCCACCATAAAGACGGGAGATGTCTGAGGCTTCCTGACCAGGGATGGCGGCGCTGCGGCGGCTCCGAGGTCCCGCCACCTGCAGCCGTTTGAGGGTCATTCCGGACCTGGTGGTCATTGGGGAGGGAGGCGAGGGGGAGGTGGAGGGCTGGACCTTTACATTCCGCTGGGCGTCTCCACACCACTCTGTCACTGCATTGATTATAAAATGAAATATTAAAAAATGTGTAACCTGTGGCCACAGTCACAGTTTGACTTATTTCCAATTCAAACGCCACACGACATGTTTCCTGACAGACTCACCCTCAGGACTCATGCTGACGATGAAGCGGTTCAGCTGACAGCGCAGGAAGTTGCGCTCCTCCTCCAGCTCCTCGATGCGCTTCTGCAGCCAGGCGTTCTTCTCCAGGGCGACGTACAGGTGAGCACGCAGGTTCGAAACCAGGATGAACGGGCTGTACTGGGAGTGAGGAGGCTCATGCACCACAGGCTCTGCCGGAGGAGGAGGAACAGGAACCAAAATCTAATCAGTTCATCTCTGAGTCCAAGTGAACGTTGAGATATCGTGTTTACGAGATTGGGACGGATGTACAACCTGAAAACATAATGCCTCCGGCCACTAGATGTCACCGGTGCACAGGGCAAAAAAACACCATTGTGTGAAAACATCACATACGTGTTCAATCCGTCATATGTAGCATCTTGATAATTGATATTTTTTTTAATAGAATTTTTTTTGGCTTAATTTAATATAACAGGTCCGTTTGTGGAGTTTTCTATTTGTGAGGTTGAAAACTTAATTTACTCTTATGCAAACAACTGTGACCTATAACAGTCAATTCTTTAAACTTGTGCACTTTGTCAGATGCGTTCAATACATTCAAATTAAGTCCAATAAAAAACTAATAATTTGGTTTTTAAATGATCATTTTCTTGGAATGATTATCTTGGTCCCGTGATCACAAAAATATTCCCCAGAAAATGCAGCATGAAAATGTTTTAACGTGATGATCAACTGATCCTGAAACCAGAGTTTGTGACATGTGATGAATACGATCACGTGTCGTACCTTCCATCATCTGCTGACCCTGGTTCAGGTGATAGGCCGCTGGTCTCTCCATATTCTCCTCCAGGGGGAACGAGACCTCGTAGGCGTCCAGATACAAACCTCCTCCTCCTGCAGATGAAGATGACTGTGGCATGTAGTGCTCTGACGAACACAAGACGACAGGACATTAGATTCTACAAAGGATCTCAGTCTAAAACAGCTGATGTTTATTATTCGTTATGAAGTTATTAGTTGATTTTAAGTTAAAGTCAAATACGCAGGAACCTTTCAGGCACAAATACCAAATACTTTTGGTTCAAGCTTCTCATACGTAAAGATTTGCCGCTCGTCTTCTTCGACATAAGTGATGTAACATGAGAGATGTTTTGTTCTGTTAGCTTAAGAATTCCATTAAGTTTAGATGTCTCATGGTTCTGTGATGACACGGTGGAAGTTTGTCACTCAGAGGCTAAAAGATGAATTGCTTAAATCAGTGGTTTTCAAAGTCTGAGACTCTGGAAACTTCTTCCTCACTTAGTTCGCCTCAATGTCTGGACGCCTCTGCGATCATGATTATGTGATTTGATTTTGCAAGACATAGATATTAACTTCAACCTAAACCAAATACAATAACTGATGCATTTATTTGATTCTGAATCTGGGAAAGTTTCCACCAACCTCTCAACTTTTTCTTCCACCAGACCTCACACACTTACACGTCATTCAAAGGTCATGACAAGAAATGATACGATGCAATACTTTTGTGTTACCTCCCAATACTTTTCTTCTTATATTCCTCTGAGCCACATGTAGCAGAGAGCGGCTCGGGCCTGAACCTGTCCGAGCTAGAAAGAAAACTAACCGAGCCCGACCTGAACCCCCACAGGAGTTCTGTCTTGTTGTGTCTGAACCCGACCCGAGCTCCATGAGTACTACAGCTCAATAAACATGGTTCTATCAGTGGAGAAAATAACGTTCTTAGATGAGGAGGTCTCTACAGGAGAACGCAGCACGTTCATGTCGGATTCATTAGGAACCAGTTACTTCTGCACCTATAATGAACAATGTTGCATGATGGGAACAGGAAACTAATGGAAAACAATGCAAAAGAAACGCAAGGTCATGCAACGGTAGGCTAATCCTCAAAAAACCAAAAGAACTCTTTCAGGGCCTCCGTACATTTTGATTTGTGACCTCGGCTTCATAATGTGAGATATCATCTTAGACCATGTGTCATTATCACCTCTGAACACCTCCAGTCCAGAAACCACACACTTTACATTTATAACAATACAAACCGTGTTAAAACAGAAGAAACTTCACGTCTGAGGAAGTGGAACCAAAATCTTTCTTAGTAATTGAATGATTGAAACAATTCCTCAGTATCACAGCATCAGCAGATGAACTTGTTTCAGCTTTAACAATAACTCAGAGTAAAGTTAATACAGTTACAGTTATCAGGCTCAGTCATATACTGTAGTTCCTCCAGAACAAAGGGGAATATAAACAAACAACACAAATTCATTGGAACGAATCAACAGATAAAAAAGTCATAACCTAGAAAACAAGGTTTTAAATCTAAATAAAAAGGAGTAAACTAAAACTGATTAATGATCAATAATGAAGACTTGAATCAGTTAAAAAGCAGAAACTGAATCTCCTCAACTTTCCTTTGCTTTAAAGTAAATTCCAGCTAAAACAAAGGATCAGTTGCTCCAGTCGGAGGTCCATTAGGAAAAGAGCACATTTAAGGCTATCTAGATGCTCTGGGTGGTTCGCTGTGTTTGGGGGTGTGCACACGTCGTGCACACGGTGCAGTTACCTGGCGGGTTTCCATCGTCTCTGCAGTTTGGAGGATTCATGACGTGAGAGCAGCAGAAGCCGGATGTTTGGAAGGAGTCGTTACTAATCCACACTTCGGTTATACTTCAGTAATACAGCGTGAAAACGAGCCTCAGCTGCAGCCGCGCGCACACGCTCCTCACTGCTCTGCTGCAATTACCTGATTATAAGTGACGAGCACAGCTGGCTCAGGTGTGCACGCTCCACGCATGCGCAAGACCCACCTGAGCTGTTGTAAAAACTTTATTCACAACAACCGTGTGGATTACACATGATCAGCAAAATAAAAGTCTGTGACACACATGGAAGTAAAATAAAATAAAACCTCCACAGCAACAGCAACATGAATTCACAGAGAATAAACAGCACATAAATCAAAACAATGCTTAAAGTCACTAATTCACTCACATTCTCTATAATAATCACCCACAGCTATTAAATTACCCACTTGCGACTGCAGAAAGGGAAATGACATCATTCACAAACCGGATATACGAGATTTTAACAGGTAACCATTGACCCACAGCTACATCATAATAATAATAACAACAACAATAATATATAATAATGATAATAACGATAAAAACACCAACACCAACAATAATAATCACCAATGATCATTATAATGATATTAATATCATAATAATATGTCATTATTATAATTACAACATTAGTTTTGCTATGTATATTTATGGATACAATCTGCCAGAATAAATCAGTGATAACCTATTCATTTATTAATTTTTCCTTCATGGGTTAATTCACGTGAAGCAGATTTTGATAAATGTTCAGCTGATGTGAGAGTCAGTGTTTAAAATAAGGAAAAACAAGATAAACGGTAAAACACGTGATAAAGTAAAGTTTCTACTAATTTGAATTTGTATAGGAGCAAGTCAGTGATTTTCATTTTATTTTGAGTAATTTTACATTTTTATCTGTAAAAAAAAAAACTGAAAAGGAAGAGGAAACCGGAAGTAGGTCACCTGAGGGCGGGGCTCAGGTGGAGGAACGTCAATGCGGAAGTGAAGAGAAGCGGAAGGATTAAAAACTTGAAATCTGATTTTTTTTTTTCTGCTGCAGAAAAAACAACGAGAACAAGTGAGTGGAAACACAAACGTTCGTTTTCAACGTGGACAGAAGCTGATTCACACTAAAGTTTGAATGAAGAAGATTCGACCTGAATCTGATTCAACGTGTAAAACACCTGGATCACGCGATGACTAGAGACAGAGACTTACAGATGTAACATCTGCACTTATCGATTACATTATATTATATATATTATATATATTATATATAACTAACGCAAATGGTCATTCAACTGAAAACAATCCTGTGAGTTTACAAAACAAAATCATTTGATAATGAAACGTCTGTTTGTGTGTGAATATAATATTATGTCATTTATAAACTGCTGCAGTCAACTTACTCTCTTCAACTTCCATCCAAGCATTGGTTTGATTTATATTCACATTTATTTAAATATGAGAAACTACTATTCATGAACATAAAACTATTTTGAAGATATCCGTGTGTGTGTATATATATATACATATATATATATATATAATACTATCTTAGTAGGACTTTGATATGATTTGGATTTTTCCATCATCATCACCTCCTCCAGTTTCACGATGGGCCTCTGTGACGGCCTCTCTCACTGTAAAGTGGCTCTGGCCTTCGCAGTGTTGATGGATCTACTGGGTGGAGCCGCTCTGCTGGTGGGAGTCTTCGCCAACCTGGAAATCAATGGACAGGACTTTGGAGACCTACTGGTTTATACTGGTACGTTACGTCTGATGAGTTGGAATCAGAAGTAGAACCGTGGTGATATAAACTTTGTCTCTCCTGCAGGAGCGTTGTTCGTGCTCATGTCTCTGGCCGGGTGGGTGTTGTGGTACAGCGGGAACATCGATGGCCTGACGTCCAGGAAGGAGCTGGGACACATCGGCAGCGCTGTCGACCGACTCGCTCGCAACCTCAGCCGCAAGTTCCGCACCTACAGGAGCCACAGCTGAGCGCCCAACATGAATACATTTCTTTTTAAACGACCGGGTGTTCAATACCTGCGTTTGTCAGTATTAAGATGAGAAACAGACCCTGAATCAAACTGCGTTACAAGCTTGTCACAAACATTTCAAGTGTAAACGTGTTGCTCTGTTACTAAATGCCTCAATGTTTTATTTTATCATGTTTCATTTTTTTTAAATGTTTGAATGAGACTGAATTCAGCTTCGGTCTGTTAACGGATTTCAATAAAACCTTTTTATTCCTCAGAGAAAAAATCGTCATCTCTGGTCACAACCAAGACAATGTTCAAACCTGTTCATTCAGCTTGTGATGGGATTACAAGAACCAGAACGTTTTCACTTCACCAAAACTCAACATCAATGTAAATCTTTAAAAAGAGATGGTTTACACAGAAATCATCATGTGACCATATGACATCATTATTATTATTCAAAATATATTTATTGCTTTTCAGTTGACAGTGGCACTCGAAAATATACATACATGTACACACATGCATTTACGTTTATACATAGCTCTATCTGTCTGTCTGTCTGTCTATCTATAACGTCTCTAGCTTTGCTGCCTCTGTCTCTTTCTCTCCTTCTGCTCGTCTTTTTTAATCCCCCTCTCCTTCCTTTCAGCCGTAGGATTTTCTTCCCTCGATCTCCCTCTAAACCAGGTTGTGGGTCAGAGGGGGAAGATTCATCTTGAAGCCAAGAGAAGGAAACCTCGATTCAAATAAAACTCTGTCGTCGTTGTAGCCTGAAGGGAAAATCCCTGTTGGAAGGGAAGCTAGATTTCCAACAAGGGACAGATTTTGATGTGCAGCACGTTATCGAGGACAGTTTTCAGGAAACGGGACAGACATGTTGTTGGACGTGTTCAAACCAGAATCAAATCTGACTGAAGGAGAAAACTCTTCTTTTGACTGAGTAAAGCTTTGTTTCTGCGTGAGGACAGTTTTATTTCAGTGTCTCCTCTCGTTGAGAGTCTGTCTGAGTGTGAAGATGACTTTGGGTCTGCGTGTCCTCTCCTCGTCCTCAGAGATCTCCAAAGCCTCCACGACCAGATGGCCGAATCCAAATCACCTGTGGAGGCTGCCGGTGCCAGGAGGGAGGCCTCAGTTAGGCCTCAGCACGTCAGCAGGGGAATTAAGTTGTTTTATTTAATACAGAGGAGAGATCAGCGTTTTGCCAACAGAGCTTAGTGTCGATACTGCTCTATACTTATCCTGCATTAAAGAATCCAGCCGCTCCGCCTGCCTGCAGAGCGCAGGGCGGAGAGGACGACTGCAGGTGGTTGTGTCATCAGATTAATGAACAAACTGGACGAGCTCACGGGTCGTTGTTGTTGCAGGTTGGTGATATTATGTCACGAGGCTCTAGCTTAGCTTCTGTTCAAAAACTTCCACACTGCCCCTACAGTTCATGTGCATGTTGCATTTTGTGTTTACGTGACTCAGGAAACGAGAGGCAGACATCATGCGCATGCAAACGAGCGTCTACAAGCAGAGGGGGACAGTAACAAAGTACAAATACTTCAAATTGACGGACAGAGCTTTCAGGAAAGCACATCAAGAAGTGAAGTGAAGATTTTTAACAAAATGTCCCTGGAACCTAAATACAGATTTGCAGAGTGCCTCCAAAGGTTCCTAGTTACTGGGGGAATGTTCCTGCAGCTGAGGACGAAGGCCACAGATGCTAACGATGCTCTCTCCCTTCTTCGCTGCAGTAAATTAGCTTTTTTTCCAGACTTCAGGTATTTCAGAGGAGCAGGTTTCTCTGTGTTGATGTGTTTTCAGACCGGAGTACAGAGCAGATGGTGGATCAGCAGTGAAACTCAGCTAAGAGCAGTTAAATCCCATTTAAATAAACGCCAACCACTGTCCGGATTCAAACCACTGAGGGCCTGATCTAGTAAACACGTTCGCACACATTTCACACGCAAGATAAAACATGCAAGCTGATTTACTAGCGGTGTGCACTGAGGATTGCGTGCAGAATAACACGCGCTGTCCATTTAGTACTTTTACGTTAATGAATATGCATATGATATGCATATATCGGGCGTTTCTACCTGAGTGTGCAAAATATTGAAAAAGTTTGTTCTTAGTGAACTTCCACTGCCCCACCCCCACCTGTTGTATTTGCCAAGGTTTTGTTATGAGCTGTGGGACGTCCATGTGGTCCCATGTGGTCCCATGTGGTCCATTTGACCTGCGTCAAAACCACGTTACCTCTCATGACTTCTCCGTGAATCACATCCCATAATGACGACATGAAACACACAATCATTTGAGTTAAATTATTATTTGACATCGACACTGATCATCTAAAAATGTGATCTGGTTAAAGTCAAATTTCTCTTTCAAATGTAGTGACACAAATAACGAGTCATGTAAGACCAATATTCCATATTCAAAATTAAATTCCAAATCAGCAGCTGTTTTGATGCAATGATTATTCTAAACACAGAGGTGGTTATTTTTGTGTTGTTGTTGTAAACTGTATTATTATTTGAGTTTTAATTAATCAATTGTATTAAAGAGCTGAATTCATACATCACATTTCAACACAAACCGAAGTTTGACTCATGCATCACTTCTCACTTCTGTTTATCTATCGTAGTTTTGGTCATTTCATAACTGACGGAATATTCCAGGATACAAACAGCTGCAATTAAAGCAATTTTTTACTGACGCGATATAAATATGTTCTCATAATTCAAATGAACCGAACATCCCGCTCACACGATCACAGCAAAACTTAACTGACGGAACTGACGATGATCTCACAGCAGCTCAGGGGTTCACATGGGAGTTGCCTTGGCTCCGCGTCAGGATGATCCACTTTAATTGACTTATCTCCACAGGCTGATTTCCTGTGCTGCTCGCAGGCAGAGCCTCAGTGTTTGTGTTGGACTCGTCAGCTGCTCACACAGGTAGGAAACAAACCGCACAACACCGACAGCAGGAAACAACAACACGGGAAAGACTGAGCTTTCAAACATCAACATGGCCGCTGGAGCTCTTGTTCTTTGTGTCGGTGCTGTCAGTGTTATTTAAATGAAACAGGAGGAAAACCAAGAAAAGAGAGTTTTGTTGTTTGATAAGTAGCAGTAGTTGATTTCAGATTATTTGTATTATTTGTTCATCATTTGATTATACAGCTGATTTACTCACAGCTTATAAAATAAGATAATTACAAATGATTTCTTCTATTGTAAAAAAAGTTACCATGATATTATTTTACTTATTTGCATTGATCATTTATCTTGTTATTAATTATGTCCGATGTCCATTTTTATCAGCTCGGAGCCTGATTACAATTACACATTATAATTTAAGTTTATATTTACCTTGTATTTTTTGAGTGTAGTTCCAGTTTTCTAGTGGATTTCTTTGACCCAGTTAAACTTTATTTGCGTTGGACTGGTTTTAGTGACGAGACACTAAATATTTTGCCGACTTCAACCCTCTGAAGATCCTGATCCATGTGGCAGAAAGAGCTCATCCGTGCAGAGTCGACTTTGACTTAGTCTTAATCGACCTTCATTCGTGTGGCTCCTCCCGACACTGGAGTTTCTTTCACATTGTTTTTCACTGCACATTGAAAATAATGAAAAACAATAAAATGAAAGATGAACAAACATGAAGCATCCATTTATTTTTTCAAGCATCGTCCGGCACAAGTTTTCCATGTTCGACTTTCAGAAGGCAAAGAAAATAATTATTTTAATGAAGAGCGTTTGTCCAAATGTGTCAGGTAACTTTATTCACGCACTAGATTGGAACCATGTGATTACCGTTGTCTCTCGAGAAGATGTGACTGATGTTCTCTTCGTCCAATTAAAACCTGGCTTGCAGTTTATTTTGAAATAACAAATGAGCGTTGACTTTCAAAGACCTTCTGAAGTCCACAATTCAAATGTCAGATAAATAAACAAGCAGATCATCTTTGACCTGAGTTTAACTTTGTCCGTGACAACTCTCGCTGGTATTACTGACGGCTGATTGGCTTAACGAGCTTACCAAGCGGCTTCTGCTCTCTCCACAGCACTTGCTTCTCGCTGAGTTCCCGGCCAGGACCAGGATACTGCAGCGATACTGTTACAGGAAGTTTCTTCTGTTTACAAAGTCGAGGAGTCAGGGTTGTGCATTAACAGCCCAGAGGAGCAGAAGGGCCACAAGTTCACACCCGGATACAGCTGTAAAACTTTGCCAGCACTACCGACAATGGGCAACAGCAAGAGCGGCGCTGTGTCCAAGGAGATCCTGGAGGATCTGAAGCTCAACACCAAGTTCTCGGAGACCGAGATTGTCCAGTGGTACGAAAACTTCAAGAGGCAGTGTCCAACGGGCCGCATCACGAAAGAGGAATTCCAGAACATCTACAGCAAGTTCTTCCCAGACAGCGACGCCAATACATACGCCCAACACGTCTTCCGCTCCTTCGACACCAACGACGACGGCACGCTGGACTTCAAGGAGTACATCATCGCACTCCACATGACGTCGACAGGGAAGACCACGAGGAAACTGGAGTGGGCCTTCTCGCTGTTTGACGTGGACAAGAACGGATACATCACCAAGTCAGAGGTCAAGGAAATCTGCACGGTGAGTTCTGGGAAAGATGGCGGCAACGTTTTCGTGGGGACAATCCTTCCTTGCAAAGATCACAGCAGAATTTATTTGGTGTCACAGTTGGGCACAAACTTTCAAAATAAAATGCTGCTCCCTTTGAAATGTAGAGAAAGGAAGTGAGGTTGAATTAGCAGGAAATTTGGCAAAAAACTATTTAACAGAGACGTTAGAAAAAAATGCTTTAAGTTTAAATAAATACACAAATATTTCTTCAGTCTGACGGCAGCACGTCTGAACGAATTCAACGGTCAGATCACTGTCTCTCCAGTAATCGTCTCTTCAAACGCTGCACTCGTTGAAAAGTAAAATGCCTCTGATGATGATCCAGTCGATGATGAAGACGCTGTGTTGATCATATTTTCTTTTTTTGATGAGAATTTAATCGCAGAGCGGGTGAGGCCAACGAGCCGGTGGCTTCATCCGGGACACAGCAGCGGTTTGTTGCCGGTTTTTTTTGTCAACAGACGCACCAACAAATGGTTGAGATTAAAGGAGGAGATTAAAGGGAGCGATGGTTGCGCTCTGTTGGCAGAAAGTAGAACGTGTACGAGAAGAATTCACATCAAGTTCAGGTGCAATGCAGACAAGAGCAAATATCTGTGAGCGTGTCTGGAAACTAAACCCTGTCTTCTGCTTTATTTTTGCCAACAGGCCATTTTCAAGCTGATTCCTAAAGATGAGCTGGCTAATCTGCCCAACGACGAAAACTCAGCCGAGAAGAGGGCGGATAAACTCTGGAAGTTCTTTGACAAGGGCGACAATGGTGAGACGAAATAAATGAGGACGTGTTGGACGGACAGGAGACTTTTGGTTGAATATAGCATCGTAGACAGTCTATACTGAGCAACACCAGAGTTCATAATCTCACAAGCGTCATAGGAGCTTTCGTCAAAATAAAAAGTTTCGATTGTTTCTACACTTCACATGGAGGAGGAAAGAAACTGGATTATATAAACACCTGATTATTAATTTGACCTGTTACTTTATATTATTCAAGAGGTTTTGTTGATGACATGTTTTTTATGATCCAGTCGTTTTCGCTCACATGAACTTAACGAAACTTTCTGGTTTTCTCCATCCAGACCGAGTGGCAGAGGGAGAGTTCATCAAGGGAGTTTTGGAAAATGACGTCGCTCTTCGCCTGATTCAGTATCAGCCTTTAAAGTAACTGCTGTTTTTCAGATGTGTTCCCTCTTCATCTCTCTCCCTCCCGTCTTTTCCTCCTGACAGCACCTTCGCAAGCTGTGACGTCACCACATCGCTCCACATCAACCAAATGACACAGAATCTCTCCTCCAGGGTTTTATCACAGTTTCCACACAGATCAGAAAATAAAGGTTAGAGTTAAACGAATCCTCGTTGACGAGTGTCAGTCCATCACGAAGCAGACAGCGGCGTTCCCTCATGACAGTGTGGCCTGATTAATACACTTTTATAACTAAATATACAGATTTTACACTGGATCTGAATAGATAAAGCACATATAGAATTTCTAAACGTGTCATATAAACTTTACAAACGTGAATTGTGAAGGTGTTTCAGCAGCTCGACAAACCTTTTAATATGAGTTCAAGTATCACTGCAGTTATGATTATGTGTTCTTCTCACCTGGGCAGCCCACGCTGGAGTCTGTAGTTTCTACCCTGCGATGTTTTTTAAAAGCTGCAGTAAAGTGAAGTCTGTTATTATTGTGCGACTTTGTGTCTTTCACAGTGTGTAATTCATCCACGAGGCTACATGTGAGTGTTCTAGTGAAGTGGTGCATATTGGAGAACATAGCTTTGTTCATGTTCAACATGTAAACCGTGTTGCTCCTGGATTTTCCTTTACAATAAATTCAGAAAATCTAAATTGTGATAAAAACCGAAGGTGCCAGACATCGTCTTTTTTTTTTTTCCAGTGTTTTTCAAAGTCTGTTCAAAAAAAAAAAATCAGACGACATGACTGTTTGTCACTAAAGACAAATAACAGAGAAATCACATTTGGTAAACTCAAACTCTGATCCACAGGATAATCCACATTCCCCACTGTGCATAGTTTTGATTGGGAACAGTTTCCCTGTTCTCATTGACATCTGTGGATTATCCAGAACAACCAGGACATTGTTCCACTGACGCGTCGACAGAGTGAAAATTGTTTTACCCATATTGAGTTGTGGATGCAGAGGAGATCTTGTTTGTAGAAAGTTGAGGTTTACGCACAACTAGACCCAGAACTAGATGGGACTAGGTTTCCCATCAGGCCTGGGAACGCCTCGGGAAAATCTAGAAAGCGTGGTTAGGGAGGGGGATGTTTGGGAAACCCTCCTCGGACGACTACCTCCGCAACCTGAGCCCAGACAAGCAGAAGACAATGGATGGAACCTTTTATCATTTCTTTCTTTCTCCAACATATTTAGCTCTTTTCCTTTTCTCGAATTAATCTTTAAAAACAAGAGCCGAAGTCTTTCAATCCTCCCAAAATCTCCAGATGTTCACAACTGTCCTGCTTCACAGTGAGTTCTTAAGTTACACAAGACAAACGCAGACAAACAGTATAAAAGATTAATATCGTCTCATTTTGAGAAGACCTACTTTTCTTTCTTGCTCCACATTCTGGGAGACATCTGCTTATTTCATTACGAGGAATTGTTCTTTAAAGAATAAAAATTTCCAGATTGAGCTGAAATATTCTCTTCTGTGCTGCTTTTAATTAGTTTAACGATGTAACGAGTTAGTGATGTCACTGATGACATCATCAAAAGTCACTCTTCATCTTGACGGACCTGTGAATTGAATGAGCCTGAACAAAGAATCATATTCAAATTGAAAAAGCAAATGAAGATGGCTCAAAACTTAATAATAAAATAGGAGATAGCTGTTACGTGATTATAAAGTTGTTTCTTTTGTTGCTGCTGTCATTAAAATCACCACGGACACAGACTGTTGTGTGAATGCATGAATAAATTAACCCCTTCATCTTCTGGAACAAAGCAGATAAATCATCTGCGTGTGAAGTGGTGTGAGAGACTCATCTTATATAAACTGTTGTATAATTCAAGCTCGTAATTTACATTTTTAATTACTCTCACATACTGTTCAGTGACCCCACAACCCCGGCTATCTCCGCTTCACTGCCTTTATTATGTCAATCGCTCTCTCTCTCTCTCTGTTATTCCCCTGACTGGGGAGATTATTGACATAATCTTCTGTGCAGCATTTGAAAGCATCTGTCTTAACATCCAAATCTCTGTTGCTGTAATCTTGGATTCTAGCTTTCTTCTCTTTGGAATGAAAGCACATGAAGTCAAGGTACGAGATAAAAAACGGAGAGGCAACACGAGGTAAACACGTTGTGTCAAGTCACATCATAAAAGCTGCTTTCCTCGAAAATGGTTCCACCCACTGTCTGAATGAACCTGGAGAATCTCCTGCTGCGATTGCCTGATGTGACACAACAGATGATACCACAACCCGACTTCAACACACTGCACAAAGTTCGTCCTCCTTCTTCATTCTTCAAAATGTACTGATACAAGTAATAACAAAAAAATATAAAACTATTGTAGACAGAGCTTTCTATTGGCCTTTTAGTCCTTCAAACACGTTTAAACATATTTTACAATCACAACTGTCTTTATAAAAACAAAACGACAAGTTTCTCACATTTTTACAAAGAGTTAATGTTTCCATGTTTCCGTCAATGAACTAAAACAAATTGGGAATTTAGTTTATAAACGTCAAAAGTGCAGCTGGATGAAATCTGTGGGGTTTGAACAAACTAGATCATGTTGTTTACACATTTACCTGCAGTCGTTCAAAGAGCTGAATCCAATGAGAATCAACACTCGACATCTTCTAGCTTCTTTTAGCCGGTTTGTTTTGGTTCTTCAGCCGAGTTCTCCCACAATCACACAGTTTTAAATCAAACACGCTCAAACAAACCAAGCGTAATCTACGCTCACAGATATATTTCAGTTGGTGGAGACCAAACCGGAGCTAAAGGGGAAGTGAATATTCATCAGGGGGCCAGAGACACAACAGTAGAAAAGTTATGTTGCTCTGCTTGTGTAAGTGTTCGAGTCTCAGACAGGTCATTGTGTAACTGCTGCAAACAAACACATGCATTCTGCTACAAGTATGAGTAAACTTTATATATATACAAAGGTAGGTGTGGTTTGTGTTCAAGCCTCGTGATGTCATCCACAAGATGCTCATCACGGTTCTACAAAATCTCAGCAGAGTGAGTCCTCCCTCTCCTCCTGCAGAGCGTAATCTATCTCGTCCATCTCCCGTTCGCAGTCTTCACATCCTTCAGCGCAGCATCCTTCCACCACCACCAAACCGTGAGGGTCCCCCAGCCGTCCCACTCCAGCTACTCCCATTCCTCCCACTGCTCCCACTCCCATTCCAACCCCATTTCCTCCAAGTCCCATTCCTCCCATTCCTCCCATGGCGGTCATTCCTCCCACACCGACTCCTCCCATGGCCATCATTCCTCCCACACCCACTCCTCCCATGGAAGTCATTCCTCCCACACCCACTCCTCCCATGGAAGTCATTCCTCCCACCCCCACTCCTCCCATTCCCCCAACTCCAACTCCTCCTCCACCAACAAGCAGCGCTCCCCCAGCTCCACATGCAAGAGGTCCAACAGCTGGTCCCACACCTCTGGGCCACAGTGGGTCCATGAGCGCTCCCTGGTGGCCGAGCTGAATCAGCTGGCTGACGGAGTAAACCCCACCGCCTGCTCCTCCGCCACCCCCTCGTACGACCTCCTCATAGGAAGGAGCTAAGGTGGCGGCGTGGGCTTCCTCCATCCTCACGCGGGCCCGGTGCTTCATCTCGATGATGGTCTTCGTGTAGGAGTTGAGTGTTGCCACGGCGGCCGCCATGCAGCAGCTGAACGACAGCCACGCCATTCTGTGGAGTCCAGGGAGGAGAGAGTTTGACCTTTAACGCTACTTGTTGTAAAACACTGTCACTCCACAAGGTGGCAAAGTTCATCTGCACATTCTAGCTAAATAATTGGTGCTACTAGCGGCTAGCTGGTGGGCGAGCTAATGGATGATACACAATCCAGCTGAGAAAAACACGCTAACGCACAGTCGTGCACGGACTCAGTTTGGATTCTTGATAGAACACGTCTCTGCAGTGAATGAAGCACCGCCTCAAAATGAACACGGTTGACGAGCACAACGTTTCATTGTGATTGTAATATTCTGACTGTTTGACTAACTTGACTCGAATATGAACGTTTTATTATCGTGCGTGTTCCATGTGACGTGTCCTTCTGTCCCAGCCACCGCTTTCACATGTTGGCAGATGAGGTTGGGGTCTTGCCCGCTCTGCTATGCAACAAGATGGCGACGGTTCAGGGTGAAAATGTCTCATACTTGTCATGAGTGAAGCGCTGAATAAAGCCATAACCCTCATTCAATTAACGAAGAATGCAAATTAAGACACGATGATGGTCAAACTTACGCGAAGGACCATCCGTAGTCCCAGGTCTGTGGCCTCCAGTCTTTGGGTCCGATGCTGACGGTCATCTGAAACACTGTGGTGTACATCATGTGAGCCATCATCCCCATCAAACCTGGCAGAGGAAGAACACAAACGTAGGGTTTGTTAAAGACGAGATCAAACAAGTTAAAGAGAGACAACAGGAAGTGTCCCTCACCTGAGAGGACGGTGCACATGGCGGCGAAGGCGTTGATCTTGAGGGCGTTCATCTCCCTCTTGGCACAGAGGCAAATGGATTCCACCCACATCAGCAGGAATCCCATGGCCAGGAGACCGATGTACATGAACTCACTGATGACGGACAGCCAGAGGACACCTGGAGGCAGCAGGGGAAGAGAGGGTCAGGTGGTTTATCCTGTTTGTGTAAACGTGAAGGTGAATGAAACTTGTTTTTTAAGAAATGTACCTTGAGTTTCTCCTGGCGTCAGCTCGATGAAGCTGCGACACTTCTCCTCCTGATCCTCACCTGAAAGGACAAGACAGATTTGGATTCATCTTTTGAACACTCATGTCCCGTGAGCACGATGAACGTGGTGGAGTCGAGATTCTTCAGACTCAAATGAGTCTTGAGTTTAAAAATGGTTCTGAATATCAACCATCAACAATTGTCCTTGTGTTTGGGTGAGCGAGACTTTATTAATCCCTTTCACAGTCACAGTCGTGTCTGTGACTTCGGGTCAAAACCCAGATCAATCTGCTTTGAGCTGCTGAGCACGGACCAATCACATTATTCTCTTCGATGAAGAATACGAGCCAGTGATTACTTTCTGTTTGCAGGACGCACAAGTTTTATCTTGTGAGGATGATGATTCAGTGAAGAATAAAGTTATTCAAGCAGATTTGATGTATCATTATCATCAAATTGGTTTTAAATAAAATGCAGCAACGAAAAAAGCTGATTGATTTTCCTCTGAACAAAGTCAGACTTTTTACTGGTGCGTGGCTAAAATAATCCAGGCTTGTATTAATACTCTATTCCTGTTGACAGTAGTTACTAGTACTTGCCATGGTGGAGAGAGACTAACTTCTATTATCTTCATGTTTTGAACTTGGTCCTCTTCATTCTTTAGCAGATGCTGATATTTTAAACAACAATAAGCTGCAGCTTCTCTCCATTTTCATTTTCATTCATAATTTACGATGCTTTGAAGTCTGTGAAGTGTAAAAGAACAACAGAAGCATAATAGAATGGAGTGTGTGAAATATCACAGGCTTTTTATTATTCCTGGTGTAAAAGATAGACAAGCTTCCAGACTTCAGGGGATCCAAATGAAACAAGTATGAAGTAAACCGCTAAAAATTAAAGAAAGTAACTGATTACATTGCTGGACCCTCAGTTTTCTATAGCATCAAACCAACAAGTCTTCAAGTGCAAACCTCTTCCACCATCGTTAACAACAAACCTTCATTGTGCTTCTCACAGGAGAGCCAGAAGCCCGTGTGGAAGTAACGCAGCATGTACTTGTCCTCGCCCGTCTCCCAGATGTAGTGGACGGCGTTGGCCAGCTGCTTCCTCTTTAACCTGGCCAGCTCATCCTTCTGCAGCGGAGACAGCGTCACGTTGGTGGCCGGGTTCCTGGGGTCGGGGGTGGGGGCCTCTGAATGGAGAGTGGTGGGACAAAAGAGAGAAGATGCTAAATGCAGAGTGTGTGGGATCATTTCTCTGACCAACACGCCAACAAACTCTGACATTAATCCTACAGCAGGTCTCCTGTAGGTCACAGTGTGTGAAACAATCTGAAACACGGCTCTTTGGGTAATTTATGGTCTTTCTATGTCGTGGAAATTGAATCGTACATGGAAACAAATAGGCTTAGAGCTCAAAGATAAGACAGCGGGTTAGAGAGTCCAGATAACAAAGTTCTGAGATTAGCAACAAAGCCGGGATTATGTGAATCTCTGCCAGTCAAGTGTAAAAGGCTTGAACGTGGGGTGCAAGAAAAATAATTTGAAAATGCTGCATCAAAGAATATTTTAGTTTTCTTTTTACATCATAAATTAAGTCACTTTAATTAAAAGTTATAGTTACATCACAAATACACTGTATGTTTCCTGACAGGAATATCAGCACAGTTTTGTCAGTTATGAATATTATACACGTGTATCAAGGTTAAATCTAAAACACAAGATTTAAATGTGATGTTAAGTTTCAACTTCCATCCATATGTTCCTTAAAAAGCATTTTTACAAACTAAAACTTTTAAAATACTGTTAAAAAATTCACTTTTCAAACAAACAATTTGAACAAAGATGACTCTTCACTTGTAAAACTCCCAAATTAAGGTTTATTTGTTCATTCGGTTTGTAATTCGTTCTATTTAAAACCAAATGTATGGTGGCGGGATGTGTTAGTGTGCAAACGTACACCAGGGGGAGCCGTGTAGAAGTTGTGATTTGTGCTCGGAGTGTTTTTCCCGCCCTCACCTGTGGTGTACGGCTGACTGTTATTCTGCCCGCAGTTCTTCAGCTTGACCGGCGACAGGCAGAGCGGCTTCACCACCTTGTGCGTCCCCTCGCACCAGTAGGAGGTGCAGAACGCCAACACGGAGAGGGTGAGGGCCAGAGAGGTGAGGGACAGGGACAACAGGGAGCGGTTACGTCTGGACATATTCTCCAACATGGCTGCCTCTCCACTCAAGACAGACACGGGAAAGAAAGATGGAGACAGGACGAGCGTGGCCTGCGGCTCTGAAAGTTCAAAAATGGCTGCAAGAGCCCGTTGACCAATCAGGACGCAGATCAGAGGCGAGAGCGGGTTTCCGTGACACCACGAGTCCAGCGGGCTGATGGCGTGTTGGACGTGAAAGGTTGTGGTGGTGATTGACTCATGGAGGACGGAGGAGAGGAGAAAATAGTGAGAAAGCGAGGAAAGGGGATTAGGGGCGTTTGAGAAGTAGAACAAAGGTCAGAGGAGAAGATAAAAAACAGAGGTTGGGTGGAGAGATGGGGGGAAGGGTGGGGCTTAAGGAAGACAAACTGTGGATGAGCGGAGGTCAGAGGACAGTGGAGAAAGATGAAGTGTGGGCAGATTTAATCGCTTCCAGTGAGTAAGAAAGAAGAGACAGATGTGAAGGCCAGAGGTTGCAGCAGGAACTCCAGTGTCACAGAAAGAAGTACATTTACATTTCTTCTTCTTCTCGATGCTACGGCACGAGCCAGGCGAGTCGCTTGACTCCGCACATTCCCTCTCACGAAGCCGCCGCTCTACCCCATCACAACCTGCACCTCGTCTCTGTTCGTCTCCTCTCGGACAAAGATAAACGTCTAAATCTTCTCCCTCGGATTTTGCAACTAATCGGTGCGGCGCTCAGGGCACATCCCGTCTCCAACCTGTTCCTCCACCTCTCGGGGAGGGATTGAGCTCGCCAAGGAGCGATTAGTCCAGAGTCTCAGGCCCACCTCTGGTCGGGCCTGGTAATCTGTGTTAATCTTGCAGAGTTAGGTGGATGAGATTAATGCTCGCTGACTCTGTCATTGTCTGGACGACCACCTAAGAGGAGACAGAGGCAAACATCTGGATTAAGAGTCATCAGGAGAGATTGGGTCAAACAGTGATGAAGTCATTCATGCTTATGTATTTATTTGTGTTTTATTACTATTGTACATGATTATACTTGCATGTTTAACAAGAATCTTTTAGTCTGAATACTTCTTTTTCTATGTTCTCAGGTTTTCTTTGTTTTTCAAAGTATGGAGATGATTTGTTTTTGTGTCCATTTAAAAAAACTGAGGATCTGCTGAGCCTTGAGTTTAAACTACAAGTTTAGTCCGACTGGGAAACTTTGCCCCTTCTTTACATCTCACCATTTTCAATATATAATAAATCCACAAAAGTACCTCAGGTTTAGATCTACAGCTGATGCTGAGTGAGTATATGAAGTATTTATATTTCATGTCACTTTGTCATGCTGAAGAATCACTGCCAAGTATCATCCTTAGCTGCTTTTAATATTTAATTTAATATCATCATGATAAATGATGTAAAAACATCACACAAACAAACTCTGCTCCTTCTCGACATCATGTGGTGAAATATGAGTCATTTCAACTTGTCAGTAGCTAAACTTGGAAAATGCATCATCCCCAGTTGAACTAAAGTTCAGTGAAGTTTGACGCAGCGGCAGATCAGCGAGTTTCAGAAGATTTGCTTTTGCTGGATGATCAAAGTCTTTCTCTCTCATGTAACATCACTTTATTCCTCAGTTTTTTTTTATGTGCTGATCGGCCAGCGAGGCGTTCAGGTTTAATTCAGCTCATGGAGAGAAGCTTTAATCCAAAGTGTCCCGACTCGTTGTCCTGCTGCACTCTAACGTTCTGTACATGTGTCGACACAACGCCCGCTGTGTGTTCAGCACCTGAGGAGCTGAACCAGAACATTTACTTTTCAGTTTGAAGTTTCAGATCATGAATTCACCGTCCAGCAGCAAAAAGCTTCACAACTAATAAAACACTGTTTGTTGCTGTCAGACACATCGTGATGAGCTGAAATCTTTCCTTCGTGCATGATTGAAAAATCCAGCTGCAGTTCAAGCTCAGCTCTTGATCAGCTTACACTCTACACCACAAATCAAAAAGTCAGAAACAAGTGGACTCACCATGTTCGGGAGGAGCAGCGGACGCCGTCTTGGTGTTTTCTGCACCTCTCCCCGGACGTGGATGTCCGTGTTCCTCACCTTTCCTCTGCGCTCCCTCCCTCGTCACACCCTCCTGCGTCTTGGGTGAGTTTCCATCAGAAAACCACCCAGATTTCCCTCTAATCCTCACAAGTCCCATCTGTTCCTTTCCCTCCCCTTTGCTCCCTATACTGTGTCAACTCATCCACAGTCCCAGCTCCCTCCCTCTCTTTCTTCATCTCTCCACCTCCCTCTCTCGTGACCCTCCGACCTCTGGTCCTATGGTGATTAATTTGATAGGATGGTATGGAACAGATGATGAGTTGTTGGTTCATGGTACAGCTGCTGTAAACGTCGACCCTTGTTAACACCAACCAGCGCTGAGCTGGCTTTAAGCAATCTCACGAGTGGAGACGTTGGTTTGGATCTGCGATTGGAAAATGAGAACCAGCAGCAGCAGGAGGAGGCTGGAGGAGCTTTCCTGCTTTTCCTGCATCAGTGGGAGTCGTCTGACACAGAGAAAACTAAAATGTCACAAGGCCCAACAGAGCCTTTAAATTCAAACAGTCGTAGATATCACTCCTCAAAATATGTCTGACTCTTTCCTTCAAGATCTATAAATGATTCTCTGGGAAATACACATACTGCTGAATTTAATGAGCTAGTAGAATGAGGTGGTTTAACAAATTAAAAAGTGATTATCTATAAGAAATAATGGGATATTTATTGTGATCATTATCGACTAATATCAAGTCGTACTGCCCTAACTTCTGTCTCATCCCAGATCCCATTCTTCCTTTGTTGAAATTCATTCAGTTGTTTTCACGTTAGCCAACCAACAAACAAACCAACCAGTCAACCAACCCACAGGGGTGAAACCTCCGTCACGCTGAGAAACTAAATCACGATTGTCAAAGCTGCATGAATCAATATTTCAGAATCAAATCCAGATCACTTGAGTATTTCTAATGTCGGAGGAGGTTTCTCTCATATAGTTACAAACCTCCAGCTCTTAGTTTGAGTTTAGACTTTCACTCTCTTCTTATCTGTTTCCATCAGCTGCAGGCAGAGTCTGATACTCTGTTATTATTATTGCACCCCCCACACCTCTCCACCCTGAGTCTGGTTCTGTAGAACAGTCCTGTGTTTACTCACTGTAGGAACTATTGAGTGCTTTTTCTTTCCCTGCTGTTAATCCAAAGTGTTCTGTGTTAAAGAAAAGGCAGCATGAGGACTAAACTGACCATCGTGTCCTAGTGTAACTCACACTGATGAACTGTCAGATTCACAATCTGTCCGCTCTCTGTTTTTAGACACTAAGCTCTCTCCCTCGCCTCATGAATGGGGGAAACTCAGATCCGGCTCAAGCGTCAATCCTACATTTCCTCTGCTTCACATTAAATTCTCTAATGACCTTAACTGACTCCACTGCCCTCATAAATGAAACAGGTGACAAATGATTGAATGAATGAAACACATCCAGATGTAGGAGACTAGAAGGAGAAGAACCTCCGCCAACAGTCCTACACACGACTGTAAGATTCTTATATCTGAAAACCAGATTTAGAGTCGTAGCAACACAATATTAGTTCAAAGTTAAACGATGATAAACAATAGAAAATAGAAATCTAAGACTAAGAGGAATGATGACATCACAAGGTAAAATGACATTGAAAAAGCGAATTAATAAAATCAAATCTGAAATGATTAGAAAATGACGAGTGACGATGAAAACCGCGACATTTTAAATGCAAAAGCTGAAAATGCTTCAACTTTAAGCTGAAAACATGAAACTGGGAAAAGAAATGAACTAGTTGGAAAAAGCACATCCACCATTTATACTTCACAGAAAAAATCTAAATTTACATTTTAAATGAATATGGAAACAGCTGAGGCATCAACTCTGCACATGAAGCAACTGAACCGTGGTGATGACGAATGTGTACTTATGGCCCCCTAGTGGCAACACCTGGGAAGTTCTTTACAACACAAAGACTCTAAGAAATCTGTAGTGACGCAGGAGGATTGTTGAGAAATTCAAATCCAGACAAATATATTGTCCACACACACACGCTAAGGGACACTAAGGGTTCAGTGCCTCTCCCACTTTGTCATGCAGACTGGATTAGTGGTTAGTGGACAACTCGCTTTACCACCCGAGCCACAGCCGCCCCTTAAAAAACTGTGATAACAACACGTGTCGCTTATTGTGTCAGTTTATTTCTCAAATGTTCTGTCACAGTTCACAACACAACTTTAAATCTGAATACAGAGCAAAATAAATTTATTTGATTCTAAATTAAATTTGAGAAATTATAATAGTGTCTAGTTTTTTTTTCAGCCTTCTTATTTTCTACCGGAACCATCTAATTGTTTAAGTTTTTTTTAAATGTTTTTAAAGTCCATTTTCCCACCAGAGTTCATATTAACAGTCAAATATACATGACGGACATGAACAGGCCCACGAAACACAAAGAATCAACAGTTTGGATCTTCGGCCGCAGAGAAGCAGCTGTCTGCAGAGCTACTTCCACTGGAGTCTTTGAACCTTCAGGTACAGATGTGTGATGGAATATTTCATTTATCACTCTCACAGCAAATAAGAGAACACACGTTACAGAGAAGGTTACAGAGAAGGATCTGCTCAGACAGCATGCAGGTCGAATCGTTCAAATTTAGTTTTTAATCACACAACACATTTCTGCTTCTGCTCTAACGGCAGGAGATACAGAGAGAACACGTTCAACTACACAATGATCAACTATGAACCTAAACTGGGAAGATAAAGCCACCATTGGTTACTGAATTGATTGGTGATGCGATGTGATCAGATACCGTCCCCTTCACCCTTCTGATCATGTGATCACTGGAATCAGATTTAACCCGTTGTTTGAGGCCATGGCTGCATAATTAAATAATCAAGCAATGAATCAATCAATAAATAGATCAATAAATAGTTACTCGTGATTGTAACACTCTCATATAAAGTATATTTCAAGGTTTATCTGTGATTTCTTTCACTATTTACATCAGCACAATATACAGCACACACACAAACTCTTCACTGTTCCCACGGACACTCACACACTGTTTCCAAGACTTGAGCATGGAAAAAAAAAAAATCAATTTGCTGATGCAATAGATTTGTTTTTCAAATAGGAAGTACACCGCTTTACACACATAGTTTAAATATTACTCTGTTTACATCAACTCCATGGCTGTTACATTAATCGGAGCTGGAGGGGAAGCAGGTGAAAGCTGGGGAGCTGGTGGGTTCAATGAAAGCATCAACGTGTGGTTGCTGCGTGTTTGGGCCCTTTAAGTTGCAGGTACATACCACTGCCCGTTAGGAATAAATCTATTTGCCATTAATTGTTTTGCACTTTCCAGAAAGCCACAGATTTCTGTACAAGATCAAATTCACTATTCTATCAAGTTGCTTTTCATAGAATGATGAAGACGAGAGTGAGACTCAGTGGAGCTCCGTCAACTCCTCCCATGAAACCACTTTTAAATCCGCTAGATCTGGATTTTTATACATATCAGGCTGATAAACATGGCAGATTGTTTCCCCATCAAGTTAAATTATTGCCCAGGAATCTGGGGAAAACATCAAAATCTTACAGAAAGAAAAAGATTCCTGGATTGCCCAAAATGTAATTAGTTCTTTCTTGGTCAAAGGGCTCAAACATGTGAAACTGCACCGTGTGGTGCTTTAACACATTTCCAAATCCAACACATTGTCAGAACAGGAATGGATTCTTGTTTTCCCTCACAGTCTCAATCAACCCGCTGCCCGAGAGCAGCAGCTGCGGCTGGATTGTGACTCCACCTGCGGCCTGTGGACTGGATCCAGTTTGAAGATTCCCTCCAAAGAAACTGGACTGAGCCATTCCTGTTGCCAACAAAGCGGGGCCTGGCCAAGGATTCCCCGCAGGACATCCAGTCTGCACCAGTCCTCCACAGGGGTGCTTCATGTGAGGTCCTCCACTAACAGGTGCTGTTGTTCTAGTTGTTGGAGCCGCCTGAAGCGTACCAAAGCCCGAATGGGACGCTCCCATAGTGTAGAACGGTAGCTGAAAATGTGGAGTTTCACTGGACGGATTAGCAGAAGATGCACCACGGGCGGGCGTAAGGGTGGCACCGAAATGACTCCCAGGTAAGGGTGATGTTTCAGGAAGGGACACCCCTGCAACAGCCCCTGATCTGAGCACAGGGCCACATGACACGGCCCTGGCTTTGAAAGCGCCTGGGAAATTAGGAAAAGTAACGGCTGGATAGAGGGATGTGGGGGGGTGGGGGGGGGTGGGGAGGTTGTACAGTTCGAAGTATTCCAGCAAAGAGAAAATGTACCAAAGCAGAGAGAGGAGTGAGAGGAGTTATATTCCTGCTGGTTAATATACATAACACTAATCAGGGTATAGTAGGTCTCTAATGCACACACACACAAACGCACACACACACATCTTTTCACTACAGAACGACCACAGGGGAGGGGGGGGGGGACACACAATCACAATGAGCTTTTCCATACAAACCTATGGATAAATATTTTTCAGTCAAAGTGTCCCCTCTAAGAACTGTATATAAAGATGAATGACGTGGCAGCTCCCAAAGGTGAAGCCAAAGAAGCGTGATTGCCCCCTGGTGGCTGGCTGCAGTATCGACGAGACGATACCGTGACTGCACGATTACTTCTGCGCAGACTCTGGAGCAGAATCAAAAGCACAAGATGGATGCATCCATATCCAGGATATTTGGGCTTATTTTTTGTACAATGGGAGGAAGTGGAAATGCGTCATCCATCTTTATTTACAGTCTTTAGTCCCCACTCCTCTCTCTCTCTCTCTCTCCTGAGTGAAGACCTCAGACGGACAGTCGTGGAAAAGCGTTTGTAACGTCGCAGAGTGACTGATGTTTAGCGTGTCACTGATTCGTCAGGCTCGGAGGTTGATCATGCATCCACTTGATTCAAATGCACCACAAATAATTCCACATGAAGCCTTTGTCAAAAAATGGTAGTTTCCCGCAGAGTGATGCATTTTTTCTGTCCTTACCAAAAGCTTGTGTCTGGGCGGCGGGCGTGTTAGTGACGGGCTCTTGTGTGGCGTTTGAAGAACATAGATCGTCCAAGTCAATCAGCGACGCCCCCGCCGAGCCCAAGAACAGAGCAGTCTTTCTGTACATCTCTTCTTTGTGCATTGTTAGCTTTCCTGCAATAAAATAAAGGTGCAATACTACTCTAAAAGGTGTTGTCTTTAGGGGACAGGTCAGGGAGGAAGAGAGAGCAAAGCGAAAGAGAAGGTTAATCAATTAGAATTGTTAGCAAGGCGCTGAATGAAAGATGGAGATGAAATAGAGAAACTGGAGGAAAATGTCCCACATGCAAATGATCTTTGACAGATGCCGACAGAGACAGAGTTTAGTTTTAAAGAGTAAAAGAGTTGAGGGTGAATTTACCAACACGAAGATTTAGTTGTTTTAATCAGAACGGTTCATTACTGAATACAAAGCAGAAGAGTGTTTGCACTTCTGAGTGATGGATGATAGCAGAAATGTGTTTGAGACAGTGTGAAGTGTGTTTTACCTGTGGCATTGCTAGTTGCATTGCTTGATTTACCCCAGGGGTCATTGGCTTTAGATGCTCCGTCTCCAAAGGGGTCATTGGATGTTGAGGAGGCTGAGGGTGGAGCAGGTGACCCCCACGCATCGTCTGTACTGGCTGGAGCTGAAGCTATGTGGATAAACAGAGCAGATACGTCAAGACACAGCAGGAACATACATATCGATTCATATTTTCAGCCTCAAGGTACTGTTAGTCTGGGATTAAATATTCTATCCTGGGGTTCTCTTTGTTGACTAAGGACAGACGGAGTCTAAACTTGTGATGAAATACTGTTCATCACTTCTAGTAAATAACTTGAGACTCCTTGAGCCTTGGAAACACTCGCTAGATGTTCCCACATCGCAGACTGAAGTCCAGATGTGATGATTTTGGTATCACAAGATTTACATTTGCTCCATAAAACTATAATATACAACCACTTGTTATCACAGAGGTTCTATGATGACACCTCAGACACAGCTCTAATCTACAAAGTG